TGTAGATTTTATCAGAAAATAATCCTGTGATTTTTTTAAAAAAAGATGTCAGGTATAACCTCAACTCATTCCTATGTTTTTATTATGTTGACTGGAATTGACAGGATCTTGAGTCAACAAAATTTGCCAGATGACATCTTTTCCAGCCTAGTATTTTTCAATTATTTTTCCACAATTGAGAAAATATTAAAGAACTTTGGTAATTGTAACACAGTAGGGACTATATACAGCTGGTATTAATAGTGTTGGGTGGGGGTGTGCTCCATTATTATTGATCCTTCTAATCTCAGGCTAACTGTGTTAGGACATACCAGTAACTATGTTTTCTTAGAAATAGGGTTTGTGGGTCTAATTTACTAGCACATGTGTATATGTGCATGTCTGCATTCTGCTAAGTACAAAGCACAGCCTACCTACAGAAATGCAGCAAAATGAATCCTGAGGGCTGAACTAAAAAAAAAATATTGTTGAACCTGCATCCCTGATGCAAACACATTTAAATCTGACTTCCAAAACTCCGCACAGGGTTTGGCTGAATACTATGCAAAGTTGCCTTTGAATATTCCAACTCATGAGGATGCTTTACTTGGCAATACGCATCAGCAGGTTTGTTTGTTTTTCCAAATGGGCATTGTTTCAACAATTATGCTTCTGCCTTCTGCTGCTGTGCTCCCAAATGCTGAGGGATTGCTCAGTTAATTATTCAATACCTGTTGATGCTTTCTGTAAAACGAGGGGTGTGAGGAGTTTATCTGGAAGGAATCAGGAATTCCTTGCTCTGCTCCAGATATTCAGAAGTATTTTACTTCTCTCAATGTTCTTCTTTAAGGGGTTGTATATCTTCCACCAAAAGGGCAGGGGGAGGGACTTGACAATGGATGGGCTCCAGCAGGAGTTTAAAAGCTTGAAAGACTAAAACTCTGGTCCCAGTGACCGACTCAGATTGGATCCTACAACATTATCCTGGGACACTTAAATTTGCCTTCATTCGTGGACATGACAATGTACAGAATTATAGCCATATTCATTGAAACAAAGGATCAGCATAGCTTTGAATAAAATATATTTTAAAATAGCAGAAGCATTCCAAATAAGGCAGGTCCTGCCTGTTCCCTTACAGAGTTTGGGGTGGGGAGGAATCCAAAGTACAATTCCAATGCAAGTAGCATAGCAATGCTCATTCCTAACAAGCCCAAGAATAGTCAACTACTTGTACTATAACCATCTCTAAAGTCATTTTGAGAGAGTTGCAGATCATCAGAATTGATGGTTCCAAGAATCAAAAACATGCTGGTGCCTTCCAAGTGACTCTCATTTTTTCCTTAATTTGAAGCCCTACAACGAAAGGTGGGTTGTTGTTTTTTTGAGGACTGACACATAAGCCACAGATCAGCCATGTGATGCCTGCGCTCACCATGGCATGTGACTCCTGCTCCCAACACACATAGTCCATGGGATCCCTAAACTAAATAAAAATTAGTTTTAATCTTAAAATAAAAGGCCAAAATAAAGAATGTCAAAGTCTCAGGTGGTTGTCAGCAATAACACCCTTTCACAAGGTTTTGTAATCTCACTAGATTTGAGCTGTGCGTATATGTTCATGTGTATACCTTACAGCCCATCCTGGAGGACCATTGGTGGCTCCACAATCTCTTGTGCTATTCATTTTGACTCGTAATTATGATGGAATACATTTAGTGGGCATCATATACCTACAAGTGATCAAGCGAAATCAAAATCCATAAGATGCATCCATTCCATTGTCTATCTCTGGCCTAAGATTGTTTTGGAAGCATTACATCAAGCCCATTTTGAATCTCATTTTGAAAGGGAATTATCCTGTTGTTTTTTTTCCTGCTACAAAGCCTTCTATCAAGCAGGAAGGGTCATAAGACAAGAGACTAAAATGAGAAACACTGAACTATCACTGTAGCAACTCTTAAGATAAAATAGGAATAAAAGCCTTGCATACAGAAGGTAATGCACAGAAGGCTTCATTATGAAGCTATAATAGCCATCACTCCAATCTATTGTTGAAGCTTTTCTTTATGCAAAACAAACAAAATAAAAAAAAATCCATAAAATAATCTTCAGAGCAGAGTACTTTGCTGCACGTATAAATATAGGTTTTCCTAACTGTCCCAAAATATCTCAAATCCCTTCTAATACTGTGCCCTGATTTGTTTTCTTTCAGCCTTCCTTTTGCTGTTCACCAGGAACAGAATGGGAATAGGATGTTTGGTTTTTTAAAAGTGCTTTTGTAAAGGGCAGCCCAACACATAATTCTTTGCGCAACTATCATCTTTGTACAAACTTTCAAAAGCAGAGAGTAAAGTGGCTGCACATATGGAACAATCCTCTTTCAACTCTACTTCAACTCATTTTAAAACGTGCCCATAAAGTAATTTCGTTTGTCCTCTCTTTGAGATTCATGAAGCTTAAAATCTAGACTGGCAACAACAGTCTGGTAGCCTAACAGAGTGCACATTAGAGAAGACTGAAGAAGGTAGACCATGGATGAGCAGTGTCTTTATACGGATTTCCCTTCCTGCTGAGTCATTGCGTGTGGCTCCTTCCTGGAAACATCTTGCCATTAGGGGGCACTGTGGGCAGTCAGGAAGGCAGCCTTTGGATGTAAAGATGGGCAAACTAGCAAGCCGGTTTCAAGCTAAAGGACAATGAGGAAGCAAACCAAGGAGCAGAAGAAAACACTAGTGAGATAAGGGAGAGGAAAGACCCAACTGCATCTCTTTCTGGCCAGTGGGTCAGAAAAGTCACAGGAGGCTGGAAGGGCGGGGGCAGGGCAGGGAATACATGCTGTGTTATCTGAGTTTTGTTTCCCATCTCCTTTTAATTTCTTATCCATTAAGTTGCTTTAAGGTTTTATTGCCAGATCTCAAACTCATCAGAATTGTGGTCCTTTTGAGAGACAACTTATTCCACCATAGTTGATTCTTATCTAACTTAAAATGTACTCTTTTCCCCGAATTCTGGGATCTTGAATCTGTCAAAACTGCCCAATTTGGGATTTAGCAACCTAACCACAGCCCCCACCCCATCCCCAGCTATCGATAGTGCATAATGCTGTGCTTCCTCAACCTTTCCAGCATGAGGGCCAGGAAATCCAAAAAATAAAATAAAATCAGAAGTCTTTGATCTTCTACTACCATAGTAGAATTCCGAATTCCATCAGCCGGTCAATGTCGAATGGCAACTACCCGGAGGAGGGCCTTCTCGGTGGCTGCTCCGACCCTCTG